AATGAAAATTGTTGCACGAAAAGATCTCAATTTCAAGCTTCATTTCGAAACTTTTTAAATAAAATAATAAATTTAAAAGTTATCCTTCCAGTGGCCGAGGAGCGGATATCCTTAAATGTCATTGTTAACGTCACTAAACTTTTAAAATGTCGTAGATGGTATTATGGGGGAGAACGCCGATATGCTCTTGAAAGTAAATGGATTTTTCTACACAGCAGAGAGTGGAGAGAAAAATGAATTCCACCGAATTCACCTTACCATACAGGGAAAAATTTCTGACAAAATCATTTTGAAATTGTATCAGAAACAAATTGAGTTATCTCTCTATGTTGAGAGTCAATCTTTGTCTAGCTGTTAAACAGCTTGAGACTAACATTATCGATTTCTGCCATGACAGGGAAATATCCAGAGTTTGCCGAAATGAGTGATTTTATTTGTCCATATCTTGAAAAGCGGAACAGTTCCTGACAGAGGAAACAATAAAAGAATATTTTTGTGTTTAGGTTCGAATGACAAGATACATGTGACGAAGAATAAGTTCGGCTAGAGGATACAGCTCTTATTTTATCCTGGGAGTTAAAGGAAACTAAAGAATTTCTAACCGAATAGTCTGGGACAAATACCAAGGTCTTCAGAAAAGGAAACGTGCGATCGGAACCCCCACCAAAACAAATAAATAAATAGAAATAAATGAATATGAAAATAAAAACTTTCATTTGTAAGTTTTAAATTTCTCTGTTCAAAGTAATGCTGCTTTACTTCTCCCACGACTTCAAGAATGTACCCCAAAACACCAAAATGGTATCCATTTATATATTAAAAAAAAAAATCTGGCTCGGAAGAGACCTTACCCCTTCCCCATTTAAAAACTCAACGATGCCCCAGAATAATACTAAGAAGATAATAATTGATTCTGAAAAAAAAATGTTAAGTTTTACGATTGTTTTGTCTGGTCATCATAAATTAGAATTACTTCAGAAAGTAAGTAATTTCTTCGTGAAAAACTATCGGCTATATCTAATGATATTCTCTTGCATAGATGATGATTCTTTCTGGATTATATACTTTCTGTGCATCTTACACGTATATACAAAAAGACAGTAAATTCTTGATTACGGCTTGTACACAAAATCCAACCGAATGTGGTTGGGCCTAATGCAGAATGTTGCACTGTGTAGTTTAGCTACCAACATCAGAAAAAACAAAACAAAAAAAAAACCAAAAAACAAAAAACAAAACAAAACAAAACAAAAAAAAAAAACAAAACAAAAACAAAAAAAACAAAACAAAACAAAACAAAACAAAAAAAAAAAAAAAAAACGTCAACTTGTAAATAATCTTGCGATTTTTCAAAATTATTCGTTTAAGAATGATTCGAGAAACAAAATACATGTATTAATTAACATACAACAAATAGTAAGGTTGCAAATGGTGTGCTCTTGTAGGGAGAAAAAAATCAACAATTTAAACTTTTAAACGTTTAAGAAAAAGGGAACAGAAAAACATATCCATAAATCGATGCCAAATAAAATCCCCTTACAATTGACTGACTACCTGGATAGAAGAGTAGCATTCAAAATCGGAAAAGTCAAGAATTTTATAATGACAACTATGAAATGAAATGTATAAATGAATTAAAAAGTTGAAATATTGATCCCTATATGATTAAATTGCTGTAATAAGCTAATTGTAATTAAATGCAATTAACACTCCGCAAATTAAAGTTAACATGCTTAATTTCAAAGAATTACCGAATTGGAATATTGAACCCTTTATATCTTTCCGTACCAGGGCTTCCCAGAGCTCTGATTATTTGGATATTGATTGGGATACCAGCTAACTAAGGAAGTCGATATAATTGCGGTACATTATCATTATATTCAAGTGCTTTCTGGTCTTGCAAATTGATTTCAGAGTTTTTGCTGGAGAGTAGAAGAAAATGGTAGAAAGAAATTGATTCTACATGCATCACCGATACATAAGACGAGCTCTGCAGACTTAGAAAAATGAATATTATTATCGATCTTCGCGTCAAGAAAACCGACTGCCTTAATTAAAAGAAAACTTTTAAAAATGTCTGAACATTCTATCTCATGATTTGTTTTCAGAGCTGGGATTTCTTTTTTTTTTTGGAAAAAGTTCATAATATATAGTCTCTGGGTCTTCTCAGGGTTTAACCCCCCCCCCCCCCCACAATGTTTGCTGGTTTCTTAAATTAAAATACTCGCAAATAACGTTTTTAAAAAATGAAGAGATGGCCCAGAGAAAGCAATTTTTCAGAAAAACGTGTTTAAAAATGTAACATTTGTACCAAATGACCAGGTCCGAATCAACAGTTTCAAAAGGGGGGGGGGGCAACTTCCAAAAATAATCTGACAAACAAAGAAAAAAAAAACAAAACAAACAAAAAAAATGAATTAACTGTCCAAATCCTGGAATTCCCCACTGCTGTCACTGCTCGACCTTACAGCAGCAAAAAGTTGGGGGGGGGGGGGGGGGGGTTAGCTTCTAAAGAAAAATTTACAATAACAAAATACTATATACTCTAAAAAGTAGGGGTTGGGCCCCTCCCCCGCCTGAAATGACTAATCTAGCCAATTTTCAAGTTTGTTTTTTAAAACAAATCAAAAAACAATATTTCCCTATCCTATTTCACAAGAACCCGATACATCAAAAGAATGCCACTCACTGAAAATTTCATGTGACAGATAAAATGAAATTTTCACTTTATAATGTGCGTCCAGATTCAGGACTGCCGAATGCCAATCAAATGCACCCTCAGTCTTTAGGCTTATTCATGATCAAGTAACCACATCTATGCACAGGCACTTGTTTCGTATACGGGGCACCCCTACTTATTTTTACCAATAAGTAGGGGGTACCCCGTATACGAAACAAATGCCTGTGCATCTGTGGTTGTAGTTCGAAATATCTGAAGTTTTCCAGGTTTTTTTCACGATTTTGATATCTTATATGCCAGGAAAACGTAAAATATCAAAATCGTAAAAAAGCCAGGAGAACGTCAGATATTGGATATATGGTTGCACTTAGTCTATTATAAATACAACAGAGAGTAAAAATACTCATGACATGACTAGGGCTATATGCAGTCTTCACAATTTTTTTTTTCAACGCATGCCCGTCGGGCATCTCATCTACTACTTTTACCAAGTTTACATGCCCTACTCAAAATTTAACTTCATGAAATAAAAAGAAGATGCTGTCTTTACAGTGTATGAACCATTGTTTATACAAGAATGGACCAACAACCAAAAATTTCCAAGAGTGAAAAATATATAAAATATATTCTTTCGGGTGGTCAAGAACATATACTTCTTATTGCTGTAATGCATTACCGAAAATTTTGAAATGTAGTGGTTTATCATTACGGAAAAACCTGCATGCAGTTTTTAACATACTGAATTTGGATTCCATGTGAAAATCCTACAGTGTAATTACAGTTTGTGCACGTACACAATGTATACACAATGTGGCATGATTATCTCGTGCATTTCAACAACAGTAGAAAGGGATTAGTTAGTTACGGTTCATTGCATATGACACCTGTGAAATTGATTTCAAAATGTGTATGCACTTCTTTGGTCAACTTATTTAGTATATATACTTGTCTGTTTTAATGATATTGTTACATTAGGTAATAAAAAATTAATTTCACCTATTTACTTGACTACTGACGGCATATTTATTTGGTACATTAAATACATGTATAAACAGGGCTGTTAAAAAAGGTCAGTGAATCTACAATAAATAATAAATCTACCAAAATGTGGTAATCATTGCTATTTTTGAAGAAATCTGAATTTAATAAACGAGTATTGAACAATTGAACATGTTGAAAAAGAGGGGGGGGGGGGGTAACGATAACTTCTGGCGTAAATGTAATTTCTTTTGATTTTATTTACCGGGTATTTTACTAAACTACTATTCAAATTTTCACACACAAAAAATCAAGAAATGCCAATTAGAAACAAAAAGGGAAAAGGAGTTGTCATGGAATAAAATACCGTACACACTTTAATATCAGAAACGAAAGTATAGATTGCAATCCACTGTGTAAGATATTTTTACATAAAAGTCAGTCTACAATGAGAAAACATTACACATGCCCAGCGGGCATGTGAATCTTCATTTTTTACATGCCCGCCCGCAATTTTACCTGGGCATCGTACTCCCGGGTTATTTCGAAGATTGGCTATGGCATGTCAAACGTTGCAATATTCGATCTTTTCCATTTATATTCTATAATTTTCCATTTGCATTGTAAAATTTTTATTTGTATTGTATAATTTTTATTTCTATTCTATAATTTTCTATTCTATAAATTTCCATTGGTATTGTATACTTTTACAATACAAATTTTATGGAAAAGCATACTATACAAATGAGAAATTATATAATACAAATGGAAAATTATACAATACAAATGGAAAATTATACAATACAAATTGGAAATTATACAATACAAATTGGAAATTATACAATACAAATTGAAATTATACAATACAAATTGAAAATTATACAATACAAATTGAAATTATACAATACAAATGGAAAATTATACAATACAAATAAAACTTATACAATACAAATAAGAATTATACAATACAAATATAAAATTACACGATATAAATATAAAATTATACAATACAAATGAAAAATGTACAATACAAATGAAAAAAATATAGAATACAAATAAAAACTTTTCAATGCAAATGAAAAATCATAGAATACAAATGGAAAATTTTACAAAACAAATGGAAAATTATACATGTGATACAAATGGAAAATTATACAATACATATGGAAAAGATCGAATTGCAACGTTTGACATGCTATATATTGCTTATGCGCCATTTGAAATACAATCTGATGTAAAATTTTGTACGTGTGTTACATATCTTTTCTGGACGGAATTCAATTGATCGATCCATCTGATTTTAAATGCTACACGCTTTTGTCAACAATAAGAGGGAAAGTAGAAATAATGCTCCGAATTTTGGATACCATATTCCTTTTGTATTTTGTTTCTCATATACCGATAACTGTTTTATTTGATTCTCAGGTGATATTCCCAGCATGGCTGTATCCGAAAGTGGTATGTATTTTAATGTTTTATTTTCTTTATCAAAAACAAAGAAAAGGGTCTTATGACTATAGATGGTGTAGTTACTTACTCCCTCCCCCCTTTCCCCAAGAGTGCAAATTTAGATGGTCGATTTCTCAGAACAAACGTCAAATCATACACTGAAAGGTGTATGCCTTTAATCTGTTAATGCCAAAATCCCGTGTATAGACCGGCCTATATCAGTCGTGACCCGTGGTGGCAAAGAAATGCAATGGTTAAAGTTTGTTTTACTTAAGGGGAAGAAGGACCTTGAGCTGAAAAAATACTTGACATTCAATTTTTTTCATATTTTGTATTTTTCTAATTAAGTGTGTCCCACATATCTTACAGCAGTTATATCATTAGGTTTCATACCTTATTTCATCATCATCATCATCATCATTTATTTGGTATCATATGTCATCATACATAAAACAAATACACATAAATGTACATAGTCATTTGAAAGACAATATTTGAGAATCCATAAATTTTAAATAGATTTATAAATAGATATTCAGGAAACCATATTTTAGATAGTGACTAGTTGATACCAGGATAACCCATTAAAGCTGGAGAGCTTATTTCCAATGGGGTCCTACCCTAAATAAGATAAAAATACAATGTTTCATCATTAAAGCACTATAACAATTTTTGGCACTATAATTTTAGCACTGCGTTGCTTACACGTTAAATTTAATTTAAGTATGACAACATATAGGATCAATAAAATAATAAAATATGTTTTATAAGTTAATGCTAAAACATATCACTTTCATGTTCTAAAATGCCGTTTTGTAAGATAAAACTCTTAACTTGTTTCTTAAAAGTACTCTTTCCTTTAGTACATTTAATAGAAGCTGGTAAAAAATTCCAGTCCTTAATGCCATTATAGTAAAAAGTATCCGCTTGACATGCTTTCACATGAGGAATAAAAAAATCTTCATTAGTGGATGCTCTAGTGTTTCGTGAAGACACGGCTGACCTTAAAGTAAAATTTTCGCTTAGATAGGATGGCGCACAACCATGATATATGTTATACACATGGTTTAATCTGAGTTGTCGTACCCGGTCTTCTATATTTAAATAATTTAATGTACTAAGCACTTTGTAGTTTATGGAATGTAAAGGAGTTAAATTCAGAATAAATCTTACCATTTTGTTTTGACATACTTGTAATTTCTTTTTCAAACTCTTTGACAAACCTGCATACCATGCACAGCAAGCATAATCTAAATGACATTGTATAAGAGCAAAACATAATAACATTTTACTTCTTATATCCAAAAAACGAGCTTGTCTGTATAAAAAACGCAACCTGTTGTTGACTTTTTGTACAATGGACTCAACAATAAATTCACCACTCAGAAATTGATCAATAAAAACTCCTAAATATTTAACTTTTTCCATAGAATGTATTTAAGAAATAAGGTATCATTTTTAAACATCTATCGGGATATAAATACGGGTTGGTCACGAGATCAAATTCCATAAAGCCCGAAGGGCTTTATGGTAAATTTGATCTCGTACCAACCCGTATTTATATCCCAATAGATGTTTAAAAATGATACCTTATTACTTATATTTACATTTGTGACTTATTCATATCATATATTAGCCTGATTATAACCTTTAACGCGTGAAATGTTTTATTTTTTCAAACTCAACGGCACAAGTTTGATCTATTGATTGCGCGTCGACCCTTTATGACGTCACTGAGAAATTACGTCGAACGTTTATGACGCGAGGAACCCGTGTTTATACGGATATAGATACGCGTTGCTTTTAATAGTGTTATATAAAAGAAAACATTTGCAAATGTAAATATTGTATGTCCATTACACTCAATGTGAAAATCTTGGACACTTGAAAGCTTCTTTCTTGATCCAAATAAAATACATTCAGTCTTCCCAAGGTGTAGAGATAACTTATTATCTACTAGCCAATTTGAACATTGTTTTAAAACAGTACTAAGTTTTTCTGAAATAAAATCTACATTTTTATGAGAAAATTAGATTGCACTATCATCAGCATATAAAATAAGTTTGCAGTCAGGATCAATACTGGAAGCCATATCATTGACATAGATTAAAAATAGTAGAGGGCCTAAAATACTGCCTTGCGGTACACCACATTTTACTGTACCTGGGTCAGACATAATATTTTCTAATTGTACAAACTGTTTTCTATTTGATAGGTAAGATTTGAACCAATCAGTATTTCTTATTCCAATGGCATTAAGTTTTTTACATAAAATTTCATGATCTACAGTATCAAAAGCCTTTTGAAGGTCCAACATGACCATACCTGTAAATAGACCCTTTGATGTATTTCCTTTTATAAAATCAAACAAATGTATTAAACAAGTTTCAGTAGAAAAATGTCCTCTAAAACCAGACTGAAAATCATACAAGATTTTATATTGGTCTAAAAATTTAACAAGTTGTATATGAACCGCCTTCTCTAAAATCTTAGAAACAATACTCAAAATACTGACAGGTCTATAATTTCCAACATCAAGTGAGCTACCTTTTTTGTACAGAGGTTTGATTCTAGCTAGTTTCTTCTATCACACTGCATCTGGATAGGGAAAATTACGCACTTTTTAAGACATTGAACTCAAACAACAAAAAACTTAATTTAAAAATTCTATCATTCAATACATTTTTAAATTTACGTTGAAATGCAAGTCCTTCATATTATTGATTAACTGTAAAAATTTCGAATGGTGAAGCTGACCTCAATATTGCACAGGACATTGTTAAAGAAGACATAGGCATGACAAAACTGTGTCATGTTTACATTTCTCGAGTACAGGAAAAACCAACTATGACGTTACAGTAAGCTAAATAAGCGAATAAGGTATACCTACATAAGATTTCTGTCATCAGCCATGCAAAATAATTTTTGTGTTTCCTGTTTCTCAAAATATTTCATCATATACTGATTATGACCTGTTTTACATAATAATACCGCCCCTCCTGTATTCACCGAGTATGATCTTGCTGTACTAACAGATCATGTATGACGTCACCGACTTGTTGGATGCTCAGTTTAGGGAAACAGAGGAGTGTATCAACCTTTTTCATAATTTGTTAATGTTTACAAAAATGTTAAAACTTTAAATTGTTTAAATAAGATGGTAAAGTAAAACAATTTTGTCCAAAATTTATACAAGAACTGATGCTTTACACGTTTTGCACTTAATATAAACGGAGACTATGACGTAGTTAAACAAAGTCATGTGACCATGTGTCCTTCATCCCCTTAAAATCAGTTACATTATTTTTAGTGTAGACTGAGAAATCTTCCACTTATCTCCCATTTCTACAATTGCCCTCCCGTTCAAAATGCATTATCATCATCGTGCTCATACCCCCCGCTCTCTCTCTTGTCCAAAATCGTACATCAGTATAAGCCTACTGTACACATCTCTCTCTCTCTTTAAACCTATATATATATATATATATATATATATATATATATATATATATATATATATATATATATATATATATATATATATATATATATATATATATATATACACAGGAATAGACATTAACTTTTAGATTCACTTGCCCTTTGGGCAAGTGATCTCAAACTTTGATTTGCCCGAATGCAAAACTTGGTTGCCCAAAATTAGGAATTAAGAATATTATTTATTAATACAGTAAATGTTTTGATAAGGAAAAAGTTGACCACATACACTACTGTCACTTTGGCAAGTTGATTTTCATGAAAACATATCGATGCTGCATTTGTTCTTAAATATGTATCACTGTCCTTGTCAATTTGACCTGATAACACACACTGCCAAGCAGTAATTATCAATTCCCCCCCCCCTCCCCCAAAAAAATCATATTTTAAAAATATTTTCGGTAGAATCCTTTTGTGAATTTCAGAGATAACTGTGAAGAAAAGGTAAAGGAAGACATGTATATCTTAATTGGGATTCATCATGTAACTAATCAAATTTCCTAATAAGAATTTAACAAAGTTGTTAGATGTAGAACGTATTTACCAAGAAAGAAAACAGCCCGATTTTTTAACGGATGGTTTAATCTAAAAATGCTACTAAGGAATTCCGAATGCAAATCGATGTCAGTCAGGTATCTAGCGGAAATCAAGTGTTCAAATTTATAAATAAAAGTAAACTAAATAAAAATTTTCATCTCTATGATAAAAAGTCACTTGCCCGATCGGACAAGTAAGTAAACAGTTTCACTTGCCCGAACTGATAATTTACTTGTCCCGGGCAATCGGACAACCATTAATGTCGATCCCTGATATATATATATATATATATATATGTATTCATATATAAACAGTCAAACCTCATTATCTCAAACTCAATGGGACCAAGAAAAAAATTGGAAATAATTCTAGGCATTCGAGGTACTGACTCAGAGGTTAAAATACACAAAGAAAAAAGTGGTTGCATGGGGCTTCCAATTGACTTGATATCCATGAGATACTAAAGTTCAACTGTATTTCCATATATATGATTGAAATATGACAATGTCCATTTCAGCTTTTGGATGTGAAGATGAAGTACTGTGAAGATTTTAAAGATGTTCTTATGGCTGATCCCCCTCCATGGTTCAAATCCTTTTGCTATTGTGAAATCCTTGTGCAATTTCCTTTCTTCTTCATAGCAACATATGCTCTGTGGAAAGGTGTGTACATCTACTTAATCTTTTTATACCCCCCGCAAACGAAGTTTAGGGGGGTATATTGGAATCAGCTTGTCCGTCTGTCTGTCTAGCTGTCTGTCTGTCTGTCTGTAGACGAGATTTTGTCCAGACCATTTCTTGGAAAGTGTTGCAAGGATTTGTCTGAAAATTTGTACACTTATTCTTTGCCATATGAAGGTGTGCACCTGGTATTTTCATCATGATTGGATAATTTTTTTGCATTTTACAGGTGTTTTTTTCATTTTTATTATGTGGTTTTGTCTGGATCTGTTCCCAGAGACTATTGCATAGATTTGTATGAAAATTTGTACACTTATTATTTACCATATGAAGATGTCCACCTGGTATTTTCAACATTATTTGATAATTTTTCTGCATTTTACAGATGGTTTTTTTTTTTTTTTTCATTTTTATTGACTTAGTCATTTTGGATTCATGTCTAAGGTTTGAGACATAGAATCTAGAACATCTGTATAAAAATGTGAACTACAGCTTAAAACTACTCATTAGAACTAAAAAAAAATCACAAAGTATTAAAAGCAGTTTTTCCATGACACAGCAGATAGTGTAAATCCATTTGTCCCTTTGGAGTAATGAGCGGACATGCATCCATTCTTAGGGCATCTCTGATCAAGCAATTAAGTCTTATCTATATCTCCTGGGAATTGGGCAGGAAGAAATAAAGATCTCTGTTGTCTAAGTCTCTTAATTGTAATTTATGTCTGTCAAAATACATAGTTACTGGAATATAAAGGTATTAAGATCAATTTGATTTTGTATAATTAATTATGATATTTTTTTTTCAACTATCAATTTGCAGAGTGTCATATATCACAAAGATGACAGATACTTGCAACCTATTTTTTCAATGTAATTAAAAAATACTGTAATTACTAGCATTGATGTTTTATTAGGCTGCATTTTAGTTTCATTCATTAAAAAAAAATATAATGAGTAATTAAAATTTCACTCTAAATGTTTAAGCAAATTGTGAACACCTCTCACATCTAGAAAACATTAGTGATTTGGTACCTTCTCTGAAAAACCCAGCGGGGGGTATTTTTCCCTTTTGGACAGTTCTAGTTTTTTTTGTTTTTTTTTTTGTACGACCTATGTACCTAAAATAAAAATAAAATGAATTATTATATGATAGAATAACTGCTACCTCTCTGATTGGGTGGCTGAATTCCGATATTCTTGTCATCGAAATCATAAAATGTTACATTTACCTGCATCCAACCTTCCAGGTTATATAATATTTGATTTACAAGGGTAAATCCAAAAGGAATGTCACAACTGCTATAAAATCTGAAATAATGGAAAGTTTTCAAAAAATTTATTTAAGAAATAAGGTATCATTTTTAAACATCTATCGGGATATAAATACGGGTTGGTCACGAGATCAAATTCCATAAAGCCCGAAGGGCTTTATGGTAAATTTGATCTCGTACCAACCCGTATTTATATCCCAATAGATGTTTTAAAATGATACCTTATTACTTATATTTACATTTGTGATTTATTCTTTTTATTTATTAGCCTGATTATAACCTTTAACGCGTGAAATGTTTTATTTTTTCAAACTCAACGGTACAAGTTTGATCTATTGATTGCGCGTCGACCCTTTATGACGTCACTGAGAAATTACGTCGAACGTTTATGACGCGAGGAACCCGTGTTTATACAGATATAGATACACATTGCTTTTAATAGTGTTATATAAAGGAAAACATTTGCAAATGTAAATATTTATATTAATACCTATATATCTATTTTGACTTTTTCCCTAAAATTTCATTCAGATATATGCAATACTTTATAAAAATAAACATGAAGGTGTGTCTTGACTATCACTGCATTGCATGAATATACCAATATTATCATGATATTTCTCTTCGACACTCATACCCTGTTCACACAGAGAGTTTAATTCGAATTAAACGTAAGTTGCTGCGAATTAAAATTGAACCGCATTCACACAGGTAATTTTATGTGAATTAGTTTAATTCGAATTAATTTGCTGCGCATTAAATTACTTCGCATTAGCTCTGTGTGAACGCTAAGCGAAGCTAATTTGAATTAAATTTTGACACATGCGTAATGGCAAAATTAAGTCACATGCCACATGACGGTAGTCAGTTATAGGTACTTATGCTATTTTTAGTGCAAAACAAAGGAAAATTACATCAATCACTGAAATGTGTATAAACACTCTAACATTATGTCAAATGGATTTGCTCTGCATAAGGTGACATGATTTGAAAATGACGTCATAATAGCCTTACTGAAAAGCCTTACTGTAGAAATAAAATTTTAATTCGCATTAGTTTACTTCGCATTATCTGTCATGTGAATGCAATTTAATTCGCATTATTTTACTTCGCATTAATTTACTGCGAATTAAACTCTCTGTGTGAACAGGGCATCATTTTGAATCTGAATATGCTTAAGATTTTTGCACAAAGAAATGAATTTTGAAATAACATTTACACAAGGTTCAAATGATTTTAATATTACGACTCAAACAAGATGGTTTATAGCAAAATGGCAGACAGGGTAAAGATTATAAAAAAAGAAGCAGAGGTTAAAAGGATATGTGGATGAACTGGCCCCAGTGGATTTTTAGAAGAAGATTTTTAAAGATTTTCCCCATATATTTCATTGTATTAAAACTTTGATTCTCTATAGTGGCCCAACCTTTTTCTCGGGGGTCATGATTTAAACAATTCAGAATCTACACTACCTCAGGAGGCTTTCACATAAGTTTCAGTTTTTAAACTCCCCTTCATCCAAGGATGCTTTGTATCAACTTTGGTTAAAATTGGCCAAGTGGTTTTTGAGAAGAAGTTGAAAATGTGAAAAGTTTACAGACAGACAGACAACAGGTGATCGGAAAATCTCACTTGATCTTACTATAACATGTATAAGGAAAAAAAAGCCAACAAATAAATGCATATAAAATTTTCTATTTATAGGTGTCCAGAAGTGTCAATGGGTGCGAGTGCCCTTTATTGTTTACTCCACACACGTTGCCACAACAACTGTTGCCATATGCTACCATATTCTTATGGAGATCTTCAAACACCCTAAATACCCAGGACCAGAAACACTCCGAGAGAGACTTTTCCTCCTGGCAATATATTTTCCATATCTTATAATTCCAATATTACTTTTACTTGATTCTCTTTTTAGCAAAGAGTATACTAAGAAAATTAAACATTCTTAGACTTTGTTACTTAAATATTTTAATGTCATTTTATCATCTTGTATTTTTGTAATCAATACTCATTTTCATACAATATATTACATGTATCTAAATATGTAAGTATATACTAGAAATTTGGATTTTGTTGATGTTGAAGAAATCAAATCTGAATTATATGGGGCCACCATTAAAAATATTTTTGTTTGATGTACTCCGACCCACATTTTTCAGGGAAAGTTAAGTAGGTAGGTAGGTAATTTTTTTTTTGGCAGTTTGCTAACAAATTAATTATTATCATAAAAACGCAGGATAAGAAGTTTATTGATGTTTTCTGAACAGCTAGACAGGGTCACCCTAAACAGATTTAATTTTCATTATAAAAACTTTGAACCCCAAAAAAATTTTTAAAACCTCAATTTTAAAATGAGACAATCTCTATTTCCCTGAAAAACAAAAAAATAATTTAAATTTAAAGTACCGAAAAAAAAATGATTGGGTAGGGGCATTTTTGATTGGTCGGTCCGAGTACATCAAACAAATCATTTTCCATTGTTGGCCTGGATGTTCTGTACTGGAGTGTCATATTTAGTAAATGTTCGCAGAATTATTCTTGATGAAGTTGGTTCAAGTGCAGTTTTGAATGTGAACAGAGTACTTAATCTCTTGAATTCAAAATTTAGTCAACATGCTTATCATTTCAAGATTTTTTTTAATGGAAACCTAAAATATATAATGTTACAAAATTAAATGATTTAATTAATCTTGAATCTGACATCTCTAGTCCTCAGAATGCATGTGGAAAAAAGTACCCAGAGTGTGCATTCATTTAGTGAAGGTCCTTTCAGTAAAAAGAACTTACAATGTCTTATAGAGAATTTTTCTATTATGCCATACAGGTGAACAAGTACACAAAAAAACATCTCCCGATGCTTTCTTTCTGATAAAGTAAGCACCCTAGTAATGGTTGCATACTTATGGTAGTGTACTTGTATAGATTAACAACTATCAGCAGAAATTTTTGCATCCTGAACTTGGACCTGGAGTAATCGAAAATAGTGCTAAACCAGAAGTCTATGACGAGACTGTCGCTCTACTGGTTCGTACTATAAGGTAGCACTTTGACTTGAAACTATGACAACAGCAATAAACAGAATAATGATCCTTGGTGTAGTCTCTTTGTGTGGCAAGTTTTAATTACTGCAATTTGACTAATACTGTAGAAGGAGTAGCCTTTTGAAAGAAACTCTCAGCATTTTTATGCAACTGAGAACACAAACTTCAATTGTACTCTAAATATGTTGAATTTTCTTTAATTATGTCAAATTTCAAATACCTAACAAGACAATGTATAACACTGATATAAAGATCCACTTCTATATATCAAACTAAATTCTATTACTTTTTAACATCATCAGGACATGAAATCCAAATATTTGGAATATTCTATACTCAATTATTTTTACTTGTACTTAACAAATATAATTTAAAAAATCAGCAAACATTTATATAAATTCAACTTGTAAATAAGCTAAACTCATTCATCATTTCCTGATACCTTTCTCACCATTAAAATCTTTCTATACCAATAACCATCACCATGACCATTAGCATAATTTACTGATTCATGAATTAATATTGACACTACAACTATTAAGTGTTACTTTTAGCTGTCTTCATTCGACCTGTTCTGTCTGGAATATGTTCAATAGGATATCACATGTTGCTTCTTTAGTCTGTGAAGCAAATATGAACTGATTTCGTGCGAAAATAAAATTCCAGAGCTGAAACACACAATGCTGAAGATAATTTACTATGCATGTATATCAGTCTATTGTCTTCTTTTTATTTCCTTGTTGACCAGAAGATTGCATGTATTTTTGAAAATTGTATAGTAAGCCTGCTGACACAGCCAATAATAGAAACACACCAGTGGTCTCTCGGTAATGTTCAGCACTCTTATTTGACTGTTGATAAATGTTCTTTTGCTGTTTTTCAAATTTTTCCTTGTAGAAAGCTTTTAAACGTGCTTCCGTCATCCTCTGATCTGTTATTTCTTTGTAACCTTTCATTGTTACTTTGTCTAAATCAGTTTTAACAGGTTTAGGGGGTACTTTAAATGGGTCGAATTCCTCTTCTTCTTCTGCCTGGGATTGCTTTTGACCATAGGAATGATGAGTTCCTGATATCAAACCCCGGTCATACATTCTCCGTGAATGGACATTTCCTAAAATGGTGTATGCATCAGATACCAACTGAAACTGCTTTCTAGATTCTTCACTATCGCTTACATCAGGGTGATGTATTTTGGTCAGGTCAATGTAAGCTTTCTTGATTTGGGTTTGACTGGCGCTAGACTGGACACCTAGCACTTCATAATAAAAAGTGTTTCGTGTATGGCGATGTTTTGTGACATACTGTCGTAAGTGTATGCCTTTTAATCCCCAATCAGTGCCTCTGTAAAACCTCGGAATGTAGTAATGCAACCCCAACGTCCTCATTCGGTATGCCTTTAAAGTCACTAACTACAACAAAAATAAAAGTTGTTTAGGTATTCACTTTTTCTCCAGAGAATGAATGTTTCTTCCACTGGCTTGAATTACATAATTTACTCCAACCCCCTACAACCGTCGGTCGTCCTCTAGACAATCAATATCACTTCACGTCACTATCGAAAATATATGCGAATTCATTATTAGAAACGTCCGAAGGACTAAGACATAGGGAAACTTTTTCGGAATTCCAAAGTTTACAATGAAGATTTAGAATTACTCAGCAATTAAAATATCCCGTTGCAGTAACAAACAAGCATGGCATCAGGTGGAAGACCAGAAAGACAAGCTCCTCCTGAGATAGTAAGTTATTTTCTCACGTCTAATTTGTCAGACATTGTGAAATGGCCGAGTCATCACAAGCATTTCAAACTTTTATTGTTACATACCAAATTAGTTGTTTATTATATGTCAGAAGGAGCACAAGTGCCTGAGTAGTATGAATACTTTTATAGTATTATACCCTATATACATAATATGGGCATTGTTCTTTAGCGAAGTAAATAACTGACTCATTGATATTATCGTCAAATCCGTCTGTGTATCGTCAATTCTCATTATATCGCGGGTTCCATTGTATCGCGGTATATTCCAAAAATTAGGATATTATCAGTCAAGGTTGAGACTGAAATCCATCATATTGAAATATGATTGATAATTGTCATTTCTACTAACTACATAATAAGTGTTTTTATTATTTTTGTAAATATGACTTGTTTTCATCATGTGTCCATTCCCAAGTTAATTCTTCTGATCCATTTACTACAGTGACAAGATATAGTACTCTATCCTGCCATGGGGCGTGGACCCATGTGTAGAGAAAAAACTTGACAGACAATTGAAACCAGAATAGTAGTGTGCCCTATAAAACTAACGAGATAATTAAGTGTGCCAAGACCTACCAATTTTATAAATAATGATGAAATACAGTCATATTTATTTTCAGATGTAACTCTATATTGAAAAATTAAACTCCAAATAGTTATCACTGTTTTTCATCATTATTCTAAAAAATGCTGAATTTTAGTTATTATTAAAAGTCAATTTTATGACTAGAAATCATCAATTTTAAAAAAAGATAAATTTCAGTCTCACCCCTGACTGATTATAGGGTTATTGAACTTATATTGGTGAATATTGTCACGAGTTGGCTGTACAAATGCACAATATATAGTGTTAAAGTTATGATCTCTCTTGTGATGTGCAGATAAGAACTTTAATTAGCTTGACCGGCGACTGGATAACAAAGTAATTGGTTTGACCATCGCCGTGCCGACTGACACTTCCATACAACCTTACTGAGCTCTATTAATAATAACATAGTAATATTTCTGTGTAATATTAATGGTGCTAAATACAAAATAATTGTTTCAAGGTCCCTGTTGAAAACATAAAAATGAAGTTTCAGTAGTATAGTGGGTTTTCTTAGATAACTTTTTCTGAAGCTTTCATTAAATTAGTAAAATGCTTTCAAGGAAAAAAATCCAGACCCCTCACAATATCAGATCAAGTTCTTTGATGTCAAATTGGAGATTTCTTTTTCCAATTTAAAAGATGGGATATGCTAATTTAGCCATTGATGACATAGAGTTTGAGATAAAACATCTGATCAATAAGTAGTGCTCTAATATCTGTTTATCTTTTTCAGATTGAGATAAAACATCTGATCAATAAGTAGTGCTCTAATATCTGTTTATCTTTTTCAGATTGAGATAAAACATCTGATCAATAAGCAGTGCTCTAATATCTGTTTATCTTTTTCAGATTGAGATAAAACATCTGATCAATAAGCAGTGCTCTAATATCTATTTATCTTTTTCAGTTCTACAATGAGTATGAAGCAAAGAAATATTCTTCAAAGTAAGACTTTCAGTAAAAGTTTAGGTCTTACAAATTTGTTAACAGTCATAAAATAAAACAAAGGATTTGATTTCAAGAAACTCTCTACCATAGAGCTGTACATTGTACATATATGAATGTGAAGCTGTACATATACATATATGAATGTAAAACTGTTAACATTGTATTCAGTATATTATGCATGTCAGTTTATGCATATTTCCAAACTGTTACAAACTACATTGTATACAAACAAAATTTTCTTCAATAAAATCAATATTTTTTCAATATCTTTCAAATTAAATTAGTCAGAACATTTAATGTCCTAAAAACACTTGTATAAATTACTATAAAGAAAAAAAATATTTGAATCACTGATTTTTTTATGCGCCCGGATCAATAGATCGGGGGCGCATATTGTTTTTGTCCTGTCTGTCAATTTGTCTGTCTGTTGTCAACTTTAACCTTCGCCATAACTTTTGAACCATGAGAGATAGAGACTTCATATTTGGTATGCATACTCCACTAATTAAGCTCTTTCAAATGACACTAAGGTCAATGACCTTGTGACCTTGACTGTGACCTATATGCTAAAAATAGCTTTTTCGAACTTTGTTGCTGCCGGGTGCATAGTGTTTCACAAACACATCTTGTTTTTTTCAGTACACGTATGATAGAAATACAAAGCCAGTTATCAGAGAGAGCGTTGGAGCTACTCCGACTCCCTGATGAGCCCTGTTTTATTCTAGATGTCGGGTAGGCTTTGTATGGTAGACATATTTTGAACATTTCATTTCTTTCAATCTGATCTATCCAGATGGTTTTAAAGACTTACATTGCATTTTTTAGTTGTGGCTCAGGTTTGAGTGGTGAAACAGTAACAGAACAGGGTCATTACTGGGTCGGCATAGACATCAGTTCACACATGCTGGGTATGATTGTGTAATTTATGTACAGTCAACAACATTGATACTAATATTATTTTGAAAGAAGAATCATTGAAATTGAAAGTAGTATTACATGTGACACAAAGACAAAAGATACAAGTAAATAAGTTCTTACTGATGTCTTACTTCTGCATTTTCTCAGGTGTTGCTGTCGACCGTGAGGTAGAAGGGGATCTGATAGAGGGAGACATGGGGTATGGAATCCCCTTTAGACCTGGAACTTTTGATGGTGTCATCAGGTAAAAAAAAACATAATGAGTTAACTGAACAAAAACATAGCATTCTGTTTGTCTGAGTAACATTATATAAATTAGTGCATGTTTTTGAAGGTAACAGTTGAGATTGACACCCCAAGGAAAACCATTGTCAACCTACACATCAGTGGAGGTTGACAGTGGTTTTCGGAGGGGTGTCAATTTCAACTGTTACCCTCAAACACATGCACTATTTATTTTATTATACTGAATGTCTTATTGATTTAGGATGTCAGCCAAATAAAATTCAGAGATTGTCCTCAAGTTCATGTTCAGAAAGCTTTCAAACTCCCCGCTTCTGTTTTTCTCAATGAGAAAGCTTCGAAAAAGATTTACCGACCTCTGTCTTGTTTATTTGATACTCAGAGAGTCTTTTATCATCTAAAGCTTTGTTTTTCTGCACTCAAAGACATTTTTTGTCTGTCGTTTGTTGTTTTCAATCAAGCTTCATCGGACGCAAGCTTTGAGTGACATGAAGTTTATTTGGCTTCTTTCAAATGCACAACTGATGCTTTGAGAATTCTACAGCGAACCATACGACATAATTTACACGCATGTGACATTATTTTTGTGTTACCCATTGTCAAGTGTGTTGCTAATGCTGAGGGTAACATGACAGATTGTTAAATGTGTGTAAACCAATCAGATATAAGTATTTAACATGAAAGTATAATAATGTAAATTATATTGTACTCTGACTTCCACCATTCAGATCTTGATTTATGTTTGCAACAAAATATTAACAGTGAAAGCTTGTTCAATTTACATGAAATATCCCTGATTTTTTTTTCAGATTTAATTTCATATTTACTCCAATTCCTTTACTTTCAGTATATCAGCTTTACAGTGGTTGTGTAATGATTTCATGTTCTTTACTTTCAGTATATCAGCTTTACAGTAGTTGTGTAATGATTTTTATGTCCTTTACTTTCAGTATATCAGCTTAACAGTGGTTGTGTAATGATCTCATGATCTTTTCTTTCAGTATATGAGCTTTACAGTGGTTGTATAATGATTTCATGTTCTTTACTTTCAGTATATCAGCTTTACAGCGGTTGTGTAATGATCTCATGCTCTTTACTTTCAGTATATCAGCTTTACAGTGGTTGTGTAATGATTTCATGTCCTTTACTTTCAGTATATCAGCTTTACAGTGGTTATGTAATGCTGACAAAAAATACCATCATCCACCAAAGAGATTACTCAAATTTTTCACTACACTGTATGCTGCAGTTGTAAGTATAGTGGCATTGTTTGAATTGTTTGCAAATGACTTTTGAGATTCAACTGAGAAATTAGATACATATAAGAATTATCTTAATAAATATCCAATATTTTGTATTTTTGAAAGCATGTGTGTTTTTTGTTTTTGTTTTTTGTTTTTGTTTGCTAGAAAATAAAGGATTATATTTGTAGGTTCCATTTATTTTGTAAATTAATTACTGGTTTATATCCAACTTAAATGCCTCAATGTTCTTAATTGTTGGAAGATATGAGACTCTAAATGTCTTTTGCCAATTGAAAATTTAGGATTAAGAGTTTGCAAATAACCATTATTACAAATAATCATGAATTACAGAACCTTTTTCTCCCTTTGCACAACTATTTTTTTTTTTTTTTATAAAACTACTTATTACTGATATTTGCACTTTGTTACTGTGTAGATCATTACAACCCAATATTCTTAAGTAAAATCTGACATCAGTGTGGCCAGTCACAGTTGATTCAACCAGAGGCAAAAAATCATTTGGGCACACTTGATGCAACATAATACTATATTTACTCTACAGATAATTGTAATTTTTTGCACTTATTAATAAACCAAAGTATGTTTCTTATAGATTACATGTAATTTTCTGTGAAATTTTTTCAAAATTTTCTTCTCTTATAGTTTTGGTAAGATTTCAGTAAATCTTGGTACACAAAAATATATAATTCTGTTTATCATCCCCCTCACAAAAAGGGTACATGCATAAGTTTAAAAAATATCAATATGCAAAATTCTACAAAGAGTGTTTCA